GWRWGAATGAGAATGTACATTGCTTGTCGAGATTCTACTCGTACCGCATTGTCTATTCAGTCCTTTTCATCACATTGCAGAATCTCGGTTTATTACGTACATTGCATGTCTGTGCATGTAACAGCGGGCCACAGGTGGATGTTATGCGGGTCCTGGCTTGGTTGGATGTGGTTCAGCATGTTCTCGTGTTCCCAGCTGTGTCCGGCGCAGGTGGGAAATTCTCAAAAACACAGTTATGGGTTTGATGCAGTTTGAAAACTGTTTTGAAGGCCAGATCTAGTTTGGATCTGGTTAGGGATTTTTTCGAAAAGCAAATCTGGTCCGGATCCCGTTCGCAAAAAATGCAGTTTTGCGAGCTGTGCAACACGCCCATCTGCCCCCCTCCCCTCCATTGTCAACGAACTTCGGAAAGACACCATTACCAGCAACCCTGCCTCCTCGCCATGCATGCGCCTTCTCACCGCCCATGTTAACGTGCCACATCAACCACACCCTACGAGACTTCAAGGCGACCAGGAAGGACAATGACACAGCGCAAGACTTCGCCCACTGAAGCTTGCGCTCCAAGGTGCCACTCGCCGTCAGCAAAGGAGCTGAGCTCACAACGAAACACTACACGTTCTTCGCCGGCATCATCACTGGAAGGGACGACTACGCTCCCACATAGATTGGAAGGCGAGGAAAATGAGCTATCCGCTATCCACCGCTGCGACGGGATAGCCTGTGTGTCGCCTAGCTGTGGTCACTCAAATTTTGAAATTTGGACGGGGACATTCCCGCCGTTTTATTTCTTTTCTTTTCGTGGCCCCCATGTATTTGCGCCCTTCACCTGTGGACCAACGTGCCTCTTGAGCGGACATCCCAAATGGGAGCACACGGACAGATCTCCCACGGCCTCGTATACTCGTATAAAACTGGTCGCGCAAATGCCCTGAGGATTCGTCCTCGGAACCATTCCCCGAGGACTGGTCGAACGACACCTCCAAAAGACCAAAATTTCCCCAAGGACGCCCTGAGGAGTGTCTGATGATGCCCTTAGACTAAAAGATGCACAACATATGGCTACAATGATTGGGCGTTTAGTACTCACATGAAGACGATAATCTGGAACAGTTCCCGTCTGTTCTGGTTCCATAGATACTCTCCTTTTATCCTTTTTTTTTTTTTTTTCCCCTCCATTGTTCCTTTTTCTCTTTCTTTCTCTTTGTCGAGCTTAAAGAAGCTGGCACCTTTTCTGATCGAAGGGTCAAAGCATACGAGTAATTTCATACGTTTTTTTTCGTCATTGTTTTCAGGAAAAAAAAGGGGCGATAGCCTTGAGACACTGTCGAAGAGAGCTGATCGGCCCGAGTAACTCACGACTTGAACTCATCTGGATTCGGACTCAGGTCCGCATTTTAACAGTTTGTGGGCTAGGATCAGATATCATTTGTGGTTTAGGCTCGGACTCACGAGCTGATCGGCCCGAGTAACTCACGACACGACTTTAACTCACGACTTGAACCAACTGCGATAGGCACTTTCTTGTTTAGGATCGGATACCATTTTGATTAGATACCGGGGCCAAGTACCACTTGTCCAGATTAGTGATTTGTAACCATTGATCTTTATAATCTACAGTAAGAAATTGGGAATTTGGCCAAGTGGGACTTGGCCCCCGGTCAAGCATCAGTCTTTATGTAGTCATAGATTCCCTCTTTTTCCTTTTTTGTTTTTTCTTTGTTTTTTCGTCTTTTTTCTTTTTTACGGTCGTACAATTTATGAGATAGCTTCCTGTGATGACCGTAGCGAAGTAGATCAAGAAGTCCAGTGGTCGTAACGCGCATGAATAGACTGCAGCATTCGTTTGGGGAAAAAAAAAAAAAAAAAAAAAAAAAAAAAAACGCATGCCAGGTGTTCCAGAAACAGACTGGCGGTCTGGAACTGGGCTGGCAGGACTGGCCTTGGCCTTGCAGGGTACCGCTACAGTGGTTTCATTGGGTCGAGAGTGGCATTCCGGTCGCCGACCAGGATGCAGGGGACTAGCAGTGGAAGGTATTGATCTATAGATTGTATAGACGGAACACATTCAGTGGCTCCATTGGGGGAACTGCGACCATGCACCTAGCTCCATTTGCAGGTCAGATCCTGATAGCCGGCAGTATGAGGCACTTCAGGCCTTCGGCCGGCTGCCGAAAGGGGCAGAAAACTCCTCCCTATACAAAGGAATAGGCTCAAGAACGCCGCTGCTGTGCAGTGTGCAGGCAACTTTCCTCTTCTTCCAAAAAAGATGGCAGCGGACGGCCGTGAGGTATCGTCTTCAAACTGACCGGGCCCAGATAAATGGAGAGTTATTTTTCTCATCTGAGCTGATCAAGGTTCGAACTGAGGTCTGTATTTCAACAGTTCATGCATGTACCAATTCAATTCAATTGAGCTACCATCTTCCCCCCAACACAACGCACCCTCATTTTGGCTGTATCTGACCGGAAATATAGCTTGTATACATTCATTTTTAGGGCGCGTTATGTTCGGGGGAAGACGGTAGGGCTGTCCGTATGCAGGCAACTTTCCAGCATACCCCTGAACTCTTTTCCAGAGAAGGACAACAAATATGCTGTATTTACAGAAGTCCAATGACACACCAAAAAAAAAAGAAAAAACCAAAAAAAAAATTGAAGTAACGCAGAAACTTATTTACAGTATTATACAACACCTTGCTGGGCTCAGCGGGGCTAGATGCAAATAGCGGACCCCTTCCTGCTGCCAGACCGAAGGTTCTGGCATGGCTTTTTAAAAGTGATCTGCTTTCCACCGTCCACCATCATCTTTCAACTTGAAAATTAAATCAATGAATTATTTAACCTGATATCCACAGTCCGTCTCCAGCTCGACACTTAAAAACTATGTTCCACATCATCCGAGAGAATTCCCCCCAGAACACAGTCTCTTGGCCAGCTCGATGCTCGAACTATGTTCATCGGTATAGTCTCTTGGCCAGCTCGACACTTGAACTATGTTCATCGGTATAGTCTCTTGGCCAGCTCGACACTCGAACTATGTTCATCAGTATAGTCTGTTGGCCAGCTCGACACGCCAACTATGTTCATCGCTATGATCTCTTGGCCAGCTCGGCATGCCAACTATGTTCATCGCTATGGTCTCTTGGCCAGCTCAACACTCGAACTACGTTCATCGGTATAGTCGCTTGGGCAGCTCGATACCTGAACATAGTCTCTTGGCCAGCCAGCTCGACACCTGAACTATGTTCCCATCATCGGAGGGAATTACCCCAAGAACATGGTCTCTTGGCCAGCTCGACACTTGAACTATGTTCCCATCGTTGGATATAATTCCCCCCAGAACATAGTCTTTTGGCCAAATTCTGTTGGGTATAATACTTCTTTGTCGACCGTCTCTTGGCCAAATTCCGTTGGGTATAATACTTCTGTGTCAGCCCATACCTCTCTCTCCAATAGCAGAGCAGCACGATCACCTTATCAAGAAGGAAGGACCTTCCCATCCTCTTCTTCCGCAGGTTGCAAACCATCATGCAGCTTATAGTCATCCTCAAGCGTCGAGGCGACGAAATCAGGTGAAGTACTGTAAGAAAACTTGAGAGGGTTATGAAAACCCTTGTTATTATAAATGAGCATCTGAGATGATCTTGCCAAAATTACTGCTGCTCAATGACATCAAGCAGTCGGCGCACAAATAGGAGAGAGTCATGTGACCGCTATCTTGGGCAGCAATCGGCTGCCTCCATCTTGTGCAAGCGAGTCGTCGCTATTGCCCAAATAAAGTGAACACGGACAGTTTGGCAGCCTCTTCTCGGAGACGGACAGTTTGCCTCCGTGCCGAGTCGTCCTCATACTACTCATCCATCCACACGCATCTGCAGCCCAGTGCACCCCATGCCTGCATCCTCTATCTCCGCCACTCGTTTCATAATCACATTGCCAATCGTTCAATGTTCCCCCATATCTGCAGTCGGTGCTGCTCAGTCTTCTGGTTCAGGTAACGAGGGACCCTTTTTATCCCCCAGTTGCGAGCCGTTCTCGTCCTTCTTTAAGCAGCTTCCGTAATCGCAAGTGACAACATAGTCTCTTGTACCTGTAGAAATCTGGTGCAGATTATCAACAAAAGCTCTCTCAAACTCCTGATACCCCTCTTTTTCCAGATCCGCCAACATCTGAGTTGTAGTCCCCAGAATTTTGCGATCTACAGTCTCACCATTCTGGTCCTTGTCAACGATTTCCAAGAGTGTTTGCCGAAGCTGATCTCTAATCTTGGGAGCAAGGAGAACCTGCTCCTGCCAGAGCTTCAGCCCAAGGTCATGCACCCTGATCTTATTGTTCTTGTGCACATATGTCCTGTCCATGTACATAAGAACGTCTCGTATCATCTCTAACGACCTGTTGTGCTCCATCCACTGCTTGTTCAACTCCACCAAAAACATACTTCCTTGGGCCGCCTCAATCGTCCTTGCAATATCCTGCAGTTGATTTGTCAAGGTTTCAACCAGACCTGAGTACAGCTTGTCCCCACATTGGAAGAGAACCATGTTGTAAGCAATTCTGCACTCGCACATACACATGTGATTACGCAGAAAAAGTCAGCAATTAGATAGACGCTTCCTTCCTCGAAGAACACACACACACACACACACACACACACACACACACACACACACACACACTAGATGCTTCCTTCCTCGAAGAACACACACACACGCACACACACGCACACACACACACACACACACACACACACGCGCACACAAAATCATATTCATCATTCATGTACATTTTTTCTTCTTTTCATTCGAAGTTATTTATTTCTGTTGTCCATTTTGGCTGTTCTTTGATCTTTCCATGTGGTCTCTCCTGTGTTTCTTTTTTTCATTCAAAAGATTTTCTTTCTGTTATCCATTTTGGCCATTCTCTGGTCTTTTCCTGTGCTTCTGTTCTGTGTAAGTGAAAGCCTTTGATGTGCCAAACGGCAAATAGTCAGTGCCGGTTTGTTTACTATTCGGGGCCCTGTTCTGTTCGGGATGCCTGTCTTTGCGTGCGTGTTCCCTGGTGCAGTGGGTGATAACAGACATGGTAGACATTTGCGGAAATGACTCCCTGGCTCCAACAGTGGCGTGAACTTAGTCTCTGAAATATTACTTGTGTTGTGCGTAGGTGATGTTCTTGTATGAGTGCGCTGCCTTGTCGGTGCTGCCTGCCCACCCTTCCACTGCCTTTCCACAAAGAAAGAAGCTTAGGATCAAAAAGAACCGGAGATGCCCTGCACCCCCCCCAGAGGGGGGGCATCTCCAGTTCTGCGTCATCCTCGGGTTCTTTCTTTGTGGACAGGCAGCTGAGTGGGGGGAGCCTTCTTGGAAAAGCAGCGGAAGGGGGGGCGCTTTGTGGAAAGGCAGCGGAAAGGGAGGGGGGGGAGGGGGTATCTCCAGTGTTTCTTCATCCTCAGCTTCTTTCTTTGCGGAAAGGCAGCGGAAGTGCAGCCAGGCAGGAAGGCAGCACCGCCAGGGCAGCCCATTCGTACACCACGGACCAAAGCAGAACATCACCTACTCAGGCCTAAGAGGTGATTACGTAGTATTAGTTTGCGTTCAAGTACGCAAATGATTGGAGAATCATGTATAAATGATATGATTACACGCTGCGCACCAAATTGCAAACAAACCGTGCAAGCAGTCTTATGTCAACAAATGGAACAAAAGTTCGTGTAGAAGCAAATTCTCCAAATTTATGACCAACCATATCTTCAGTAATCTGTAAACCAACAAAATATTTTCCGTTATAAACTTGTGCATAGTAACCGACAAATTTAGGCAAAATACAAGATCTACGTGACCAAATTTTCCAACTCTGGCGAGCCACACGCGAATGCTTTTTCAACAGACAAGCATCTACAAATGGACCTTTCCATATAGATCGTGACATAACTTAATTCTTTTGTTTTCTTACTACTGTTTTAAATCCACCTTTGGTTGGTTTTCCCCAAGGAGAAACGGACCTTCGGCCTCCTTTTGTACGTCCTTCTCCTCCTCCATGAGGATGGTCTACAGGATTCATAGCAACACCACGAACAACGGGTCGCTATGGTGTTTTGAGTGCTTTCCCAGTCTTACAGGTGATTAGTCCAGTGACATCCACAGGTTTTGGTGAATACGGATCCAATTCAAGCAATTGGCTATACTGGGCTCTAGTCCGATAAAAAAAATAGAATAACGAAAGCAGCTCAGGTTTTGAACTTTGGATCTAATGGAGACGTTGATCCTGTCTCAGGATGAACGCTGGCAGCATGCTTAACACATGCAAGTCGAACGGAATCTATTGATTGGTTTCAGTCAATATATTCAGCGGCGGACAGGTGAGTAAAGCGTAAGGACTTACCCTTGGGTGGGGGATAACAACTGGAAACGGCTGCTAATACCCCATAAGCTGAGGAGCAAAAGGAGGAATCCACCCTACGAGAGACGTGCGTCTGATTAGCTAGTTGGGGAGGTAATCGCTTTACAAGGCAACAATCAGTAGCTGATCTGAGAGGATGATCAGCCACACGGGGACTGAGACACGGCCCAGACTCCTGCGGGAGGCAGCCGTGGGGAATTTTCCGCAATGGGCGAAAGCCTGACCGCGCAATGCCGCATGGAGGTAGAAGGCCTACGAGGTCGTAAACTCCTTTTTTCAGAGATGAACTCGTGACGGTATCTGAAGAATAAGCATTGCGTAACTCTGTGCCAGCAGCCGCGGCAACACAGAGGATGCACACACTCGTTCTGCAACTCGGGAAAAAAAAAAAAAAAAAAAAAAAAAAAAAAAAAAAAAAAAAAAAAAAAAAAAAAAAAAAAAAAAAAAAACAGGAGATGCCATATGAAGTCTGGCTGATGGTACTGATGGTTCCTTTGCATGACATGCCTCCAGTCAAAAGAGTGGCTATACGGTCGACTGTAAAAGGATTTCACACTGTCCACATGTCCCGAGTCCGGGTCCCAGAGTCCCAGAGTACCGAGTCCCTGCCCCGGAGTCCCACCTGAGGTCCCAGTAGCGCCCAGGCTAGGTCCAAGTGTCGTAGGGTCCGGTAGTTAGAAGTCAGAGGCCCGGTACGCGACAAGAAAATCAACAGTCCCGAAGTCCAAATTTGAAGCAGCATCCTGAGAAAGTCCGGCAGCTTCCAGAACTGGCAAACTGCAGCCGCCAGGCTGCATCTACTGGTACCAGTCCGGAGCTGACATTGATTCACTTCAGCTGCTACTTATAATCGCTACAGTGCAGCGGCGATTCACCTGTCAATTCACATGTTGCAGAAGCTCTGCTGTAGCGCTTGACACTGCTTGTGCAACCATCTTGGAGTTGGACAGTCAGGTTGGGCACTGAAGTTGAAGGTTGAGCGTCATAGTTAGAGTATAGCAGGGAGACGAATGCGGCCATAGCAGCAAGGGGAGGAAGCAGATGGAGTCTGAGTAAGGCGGGTGTATAGAGGAAGGTAGAAGAGAGAGAGAGAGAGAGAGAGAGAGAGAGAGAGAGAGAGAGAGAGAGAGAGAGAGA